CATAAGTGACTTACTAGGTTGCCTTGACGAAGTGGTTTGTGATTGGTTGTTTCCTTTGATTGTTGTGTCATTGACTGTATAGACTTTCCTGTGGTTGTTCCTCTGCTTGACCTCTGACCTTTCTGTCGTTTATCATTTTTCCTATTGGTTGGTAGATTGGGTTTATGTCTATACATCTGTTGATTGCTGACTGACCTGAATACCAAGCTTCTAGGAATTCTCTATTGGTTCAGCTTGGAGGTGTGTTAGGACTCGTCAGTTTCAAGATAGTATTCATCAAAGGTTGACATAAGTTTGAAAACCACTGGAAACCTAAGAGGACTGGACAGCTGCTTCATCTTGTTATGGGACTCCTCAGCAATGTGTGAATTCAGTACCCTAAAGTTTCACAGGGTTACGTTACCACTTAGCCACTAGGTTGGAATCTAACGATTCGCGTTTTCTTAAGTGTGTCATTTCGCAACATAGCGGGATCATCATCCCATAGGATCGACAGGTATTTTTCTCCACACTCGACTTGGTCAACCTCGCACGTCTTGACTTCCCATTGGGACTTCCGGAATCCGTCTCTAAGAATGTTTGTGATGATCAGCAATTTGGTTTGGAGGTCCCGTTCTTATCTCGATGTTTCAGCAAATGGAGTAAGCAATTCCCTGTTGATCGGTTTTTCCTTTTCACCTGTCAGATGTAGCACCTTTACCATCTATGTAACCAAGTAAATTCATTCCAACTCGCATTATAATTAAGTTTGAGATGAATCGATGTATTATTGATGACTGACTACAAAAGTGCGTTTGCTTCTCAATCACATGATTGGGTAATACGTTTTATATGAATAAAAGTACTAATAAGATCTGATCATCAATTGAATTTTGTAACTCAGAGGAATAAACAGTTTAGTGCTACAGTGATTGATTTCAATCTTTGCGGTTCATCATGAAGTGACATCAGTTGAAGAACAACTGAAAATCTTAGAGTACTGGACAACTCTTCCATCCGCGTATGGGATTCCGCAACAGTGCATACCCATGAGCGTATCAGGAGTCAAACTGCAGACCTTCAGCCTTCACGGCAACCACACTCTACTATTGAGTGAGTCCAGTGGTCCACATTTTCCTACCTCTGTCAATTCACAATGTAGCGTAACCTCTATCCAGTACTCTCGTTGGTTATCCGGCTCATGTTCGGTTTGATTTGCCCCTACCGGTCACGATTTTGATTAGAACTTTGGAGAGTCTTATCTCAAAGCAAGTCACTAGTGAAAATTAGAGAGTAATTCAGTTTAGAGATTTGTAGGAATTCATTGATTGTGCATTGATTTCCGATATAGTGGCTGAATAGTAGTCCGCTCATCGTGAGACGCGAAGGTCCTGGGTTCGCCTGCTTGTGAGGCAATGGGTGTGCACTTCTGAAAAGTCTTATACTAGAGCGAAATAGCTATCGAGTGCTCACAGATTTTCAATGGTTCTTTAGCTATTGTCAGTCATGATAAATCTAAAGTCAATAAATCCCCACAAACTCTTGAATTGAATTACAGTGTTTGACTCAGATCTGATTACTTGGCTATTCATTGTAGTCCCGTTTACGATTATTGTTATAGATGGATGGATACGTCACCTATGCTTCAATACTATTGATGTTAACAACCATTTTTTCTATAGTCTTTTAAACATACAGAGAGATCGTCGAAATCAACTTTATCTGTTCCTAGGGAAAGACTTCAGCATTATTATGCTACTAAAGAGAGTATTGTACTAGTAAATCTCCAGAAGCGTTTAAAGAATACACATACATGACCTGACTTGAACTATTTGGTTGCATAAGTAGCCAATTTCCTTGCTTGGAGAACAGAATAGAAATTTAATTCAGTGATATTTAAGAACACATTCTAAACTTGATTAGGATATCTTGGTGAAGAGTTTGGCCATCCGTAATTGAAGTTGAGTTGGAATAATTCAGTGGGACGACTAGTTTAAAGGTGGTTTATCTAACTGTTTGTGAAGTACTACCACAACTGTATGTGTTTTTTTTGTGCAGGTTGATCATTCAGTGAAGATGAAATCCTTTGTGATGTTAAATACTTTGAAAGTTTGTGGGGTATTGATTGATTTCAACGTGGTATCCATCGTGCACTTACTGACATCATTGAATGATAGTCGTGCTATATCGTAAATGGATTGAAATCAAGAAATGTCGACTTTTGGATATGTTTACTCAGTGGCTGAATAGTTAGCATGCCCGTTACGAGATCTGAGGGTCCTGAGTTCGATTCCTGACTCAGTTATAAGTGCACAATGTTAAAGGGTCTATTCTAAGATGAAACGCCTGTCCAATCCCTCCACGGTCTTAATGGTTCTCTAACTGGTGGTTGTATGTGATGCAAAACGCCTTATGATGTTTAATCAGATGATTATTTCACTGATTAAAATAGTTATTTGAATCTAAGAATAGTAGCGTTTCTATGTCCAAAAGGTTTGTTTAGCTTTGCAAGATAAGGGGTATTCGGTAATCAAATAATTTACATTGCTACAAGTCTCAGCTATAAACTCTTTTTCCAGTTAGGATAATCTTTAGGATAATGACGGATAGTGGCTAGCAGTGGAATCCAGGATACGCATTTCGTCCTATTTGGGACTCGTCAGCTTGATGCACCTGCCTCTCAGTGAGTGATGTTGTTCCCACTGGGATTTGGATTCGGAAGCTATCGCTTCAAACGCCAGAGCGTAATCCACTACACCACCGAACCGCGATAGACAGGTCTTGTGCAATTGGCTATAGTTTTAGTATAATTCCGGTGGGAACAACATCACTTACTGGGAGGCAGGCACATCTAGCTGACGAGCCCCAAATAGAACGAAATGCGCATCCTGGATTCTACTGCTACCCACTATCCATTATTACTATAATCAGAACACAGGTAATATCGGGGCATCCGCATAGGAGTCCTTATGCCAATAGAGACGGATCAATTCTGTCCAATCAATGATAGTATATAAGCAATTATACCAATCTTTAGGGTAGTTTAGAAAATCCAACCGAAACAATAACTGAATTTGATCATGCCTTTTAAACTGAAACGCTACATGCTGACTGGTTTCATAATGTATAAAAGATGTATGTGTATATGATTAGTGTATACAGTAAAATAAGAAAACCATAGTCATAAATAAATATCTCCCAACATTATGTCAATTTTACATCACCTTAACACAGTGCAAAAAGTGTATATACATTTTTTTCCTCTCACTAAAAGTACATCTAGTTCAGTATACTGATTTCTATTTGATATGTTAATGTCAACAAATCGATTAGGAATGGTAGTTTTAGCCCTTTAATAACTTTTATGTAAGTATGAAGTTTGCCAATAACAGTTGTCAGTCAAAACTTCTTAGTTGGGTACACTGAGGTGAAATTGAACAATCCTAATTGTTTATTCGATTTTGAAGTATGTGGGGATTTATTGATTTCAGACTGGTATTCCTCATAAACTGACATCAGTTGGAGAGGTGCCGAACAACTGCCTCGTCTTAGTATGGGATACCTCAGCAGTGAGCATCCACGACCCCGCCAGGGGTGGAACCCACGACCTTCGGGTTCCGTGGCCAGCACGTTACTATTGAGCCACTGGGTCGGGATCCAATAGTCCATATTTCCAACTTCTGTTAGCTCACGATATAGCGCAAACCGCCACCCAATGTCATCGTTGAGTATTTGTCCTCACGGCCATCAGGCTTTGACTCCACCGGTCACGACTTGTCATTCGAACTTCGGGAATACTTCTCGAAGCTAGTCACCAACGAGCACTAGTTCAATTGAATTTTGAGGGGGTTGTGGAGATTTGGAAATATTTCGAGTTGTTATTCATCGCAGACTGACATCAGTTGGAGGAACAAAGGAAACCAGAAATATATATCATTCACAACTGTTTCATCATCACATAGTTCGGGTGTTCGTCGACGTATCCGGTTATCTATCAGAGGATAAGTATACTACGCTACAGTGCGTTCTGTCTTTTTATATGGCTGTGAGACATGGTCGTTAAAAGTAGAAGATATAAAGTGGTTGCAGGGTTTTGATCTTCATAACATTGGTCGTGTTTGATGAAATCACCGTGTGAGCAGTGTTAAGGTCAAGTGAAAGGTACTAGGCAAGACAGACAAATCGATTGATGAAGTTGTGAACCTTAGTCGAATGAGATGCCTTAAACATGTACCATGCATGCCGAGTCAAAGCCTACTCCGACGTGACATGCTAGGAGTAGGTGGATTAGTTTGGAAGATGATTCAGGATGGTGAGATGATGACGTTGCGCCAGTGAATGAAGTCGTTAACTGTTGGCATGAGTTGTGTGGGGAGATGTAGACTACATGATTGAAAATTAGTTACAATAGCTCACATGCATTTATTCCTTAATGCCTCCTGAAGGTTGAATTTTCACGATGACCTTTATCTTCAGATTGTTTATTTTCTCACACAACTTTACCTACCTTGATATCAATGATTTTCTATCCATCCGTTCTTTGTGCACTTCTATGATGTGTAGCAAATTGGACCAATACACACTTGTATGCGAAGTTGTACGTTGATTTTAGTTCGTCAGTCACACGTATAAATGGAGGCTCGTTTTATTGTATGGAATTAATTTTACTAGAAAAAAAACTTCCTTTTTACTGATCAACCTAATAGTAGCTTAACATTTAGTTGGAACATTTCCTACTTCCCTCTTTTTTCATTGTTGATTTTATGATCATTGATCACTTTACTGGTCCCAACCTTAACTGTTCTTACTCTTTCCTTTCTAATAAGTGGAATACTCGAATAATGTATGAGTAGTCTTTCTTACTATTTGTCTACTGTTATTATTATTATTTTTACGCTCTATTGATTTTATGTTCTTTTATGAGGACCAGGGTGTATGCAACTAAAGGAGTGTATATAGTTATGTAAGTATTACGTATTGTATATTTATTCACTTTCTTTTCTTCGTTTTACTCCTTCTAGTGATCAAAACTTACTTCATTGAAAGACGCTTGGACAATAGACCGGTTATTAGTCTACCACCTGTAAGTTAATTAAGCAAACTAATTATCTGCTTTTCCTCATATTCTTTCTCGTGTTATAAAATCCGAGTGGAGCTAACTAGATGTGCGCTGAACAACGGATTGTTTTTGTCCTAATTTGGAATTGTTGATCAATGGATTAGTGTGTTCATTGTGGAAGTTAGCGCTTTCAAAATCTTAATGTCACTAGTGACTTTCAAGTCCACCCTAACAATAACAATAGCTGAAATAACCAATCAGACTTTTCTATTTTATGAAAATCTGCTTTTCCATCTTATTGGTTATTTCGATCGTTATTAAGGTGGTAACCTTTAAAATCACCCCAATGACACTGTAGGCTGAATATTCATCACCAAACTATCGATCAATTTGAACTGAGTTATAATGTGTTGTCCTCCAAGTAACCATTCCCTCACATCCTCTACCAAAAAAACACAGCTTGACCTATGTCAGAAGATGATATGATGTATGTTAAATTGGACGAAACACGCCTCTTGAACTCCACTACTAGCCAATATCTGTTATATCCGCTAAGTGTTCATCTGGTGAAATGAAACGTTTGTATACTATATATGTATTACAGATTACATGAATTTATATTTCATTCTTCATATATAGATGTTTGTAGTATGATAACCACTGAGGAGTAGAAGGAGGTCATTAACTAACCCTATTTATGGTCAGTAGTATATACAATGACATAGTACATAATGTGTACAATTTATCAAGTAGTGTGATCATTCGTTTGTATTATATTTCAGCTTTGAACAGGACATTTTTAATGCACAGTTTATATTAAGAACTATTATACAACTGATAAGAATGATGAAGGTTATGATTTATTGTATTCAATAACGTGTATTTGAATTGATTGAGGAAACACGTGTTATTTTTTAAGCCTTATTATTTCACCTTTTTACTCAGTCAAAGCATCATCTTTTCTCATTTATGATTACCCCTGATGACAATGGTAGATATCTGGATATCACGGGATTACTTACTACCTCATATCTTGTATTGATTACAGTTTTTTTCCTTTTATCTAGCTGGTCAGTGTAGTTTGTGTCATGTATTTGAAGACAATTCCTAGGAACAAATAAATGTAGAGTTATACTAGTTGGTGGTTTATGTAAGCATTGCTTATCGATACTGGCGAAGTAGTGTTGGGTTGCATGTCTTTGCATTGCTTTTCCTACTGTTTTTCTCATGACCTTTAAATAACCTACATGGCTGTTTTCACACCATTAATAATTTCTCCTCCCTCTCCTCTGAAGGCTGAACTTAGATTGGTTGTTAACTATTTTTTACCTATATGTGGGTTCAGTATTGTGAAGGTCGCATAGAAATGTATATATTCAGCATGACTGTCAACTGTATTGACTTTAGTTGAGACAGTGAAAGCTGTCTGTGAAGGGTGTGTTTTCTCTTCTTATGTTCGTGCGTCGGTGATATTGTTGTTATGGTGGTTGACGTTTGATTTGCGTTGGAGTCGATTTGTTAGCGCGTTAGGTTCGTATCGTTTGTAGTTTGTTAGTAGTAGTAGACTGGTATCGCTCGTAAACTGTTAGGTCCTACTAACGGTCATAGCAGGATTAGAAGGAAGGCTTATGTTGATCAAACTAAGACGTGACATAAATTCATGTGAAGTCATTGAATTTTTATCTGAGTTGTGGAAGTAGGTGTAGATTTTTTTGCTGTAGTTCTTGAGAGATGATAGAAATCGGTGACGAGGTAGCAAATCGATTACAATTACTACCATTGTTTGTTTTTTGGATTTATTATCCTCATTTGTTGTTCACTTGTTCAAACATTCTTCATTTATTCATTCATTCTTGTAGACTCTGATTGAAGTCGAATCAAATGTTCCACAATATGTAAGTTATTGTGTTTTCCATGTTATGTATTAAATTATTTTCAATTAAATTTTGAGGGAGTTGTGGAGATTTGGAATTATTTCAAGTTGTTATTCATCGAAGACTGACATCAGTTGGAGGAACAAAGGAAACCTGGGAGCACTGGACAGCTGTTTCGTCCCAGTATGGGACTCCTCAGCAGTGGCTCAATGGTAACGTGCTGGCCGCGGAACCTGAAGGTCGCGGGTTCCATCCCTGCTGGTGGGGTCGTGGGTGCGCACTGCTCACGAGTCCCATACTAGGACGAAACAGCTGTCCAGTGCTCCCACGCTTCCTTTCTTCCTCCAACTGATGTCAGTCTACGATTACAACTTGAAAATTATTTTCAAGTAAAATCGGCTTTTTTTCTGCATTCAAGTTAGTGATAGCAAATTAGAATGTTGAAATTTTGTCCTTAGTTTGTGCTAATTATTCAGTGGGTTTGTGTTCGAATCCCGCCCCCTTCCCTATCCAGTCAAGATCACAATGTGTGTTCTCTGATAAAAGTGTCATAAAGTATTGAAAGATACTGCCGAAGTAGTCAGAAATTAATCAGTTCGATCTGTAGATTTTGTTAAATAGATCAATGTGATCTAGATATCGGACTGTCGTTCCACTCATTTGAAGCCGCTCTGTCAGTTCATACAAGTCAACTAGTCAACCAGATTCAGGTGATCTTAACTTATTTGACTGTATACACACTGAATTTTTTCGGGTACATCGATGATGAGCTGACTCAGCCCAAAACGAGCTAACAGTCGTCTAGTCTTGTTTCGCTTACATGTTACTAAGTTTCAGGTTCTTGTTAATACTGCATGCGGATATGTGTAGTCTATAGTACAATTTTAAAAACTGTACAATACATAACTCTTGACCTCAATTATATAATAGATCAGTATATTTGCCAACTGGAGTTGTTAAAGTTCTGAGAATTCGTTTTTAGCTTGTTTTACTGTGTTTAAAAGAATTCATTCGTTACTTATGTCAATATCAACATGGGACCCTGAGATTATTGATTAATGATATCAAGTGTTACACCTCATTGTAAACACTTCACGGTTGAAGAGACTACAGTGAAAGATAGAGAAGTCAGGAACAGGATGTAAGTGATAGAAAACTATCGAAGGAAAACAATAATGAAATTCGATATAACTTTGAAGATGATATGTGTGTGTATTCGCAATGATTCTGAATTATAAGATCAATAATCTCTAACTATTGGCTTCATGAACTAATAGAATGTTTTAGTCTAACTGCCTATATCCTTTTTTCCAACTTAAAGTGACTTTAACTACTTAACAGTGTGCAACTAGGCAGGTGTAGCATATATATCCTAGCTGTCTAACTCAATGAAGGTTGACTTTTATCATTACTGATGCCTATGACTAACGTTATACTACATTATGATGACAAAGGTGTTTAATCCAGTTAATCTCATTTTACATGTTAATCCTCTTGTGAACTTATCTTCGTCTTGTATTATATTATACTATTTTTATTCGCTGTATGTTTTTCGTTTTCTTATGTTGATTTCTCATCCTTGTGTGTGTGTTGTTTTTTTGTTGAACATTATAATAATCTGAAGGGATCTACTGTTGTATTTTAATTCAGCTTCATTTAAATCACTCATGAGTCATATGTAGCTGTGGCTTATTAGTTTAGATAGTTGATTTCTTATTTGGTGGATTAAGGGTTCCAACCCAACTTCATTTGGTTAAGCATCCAGGTATGATTGTCATTGTCTACTGGAAGAATATGGATTATAAGGTGACTGAGTAGGTGGAGTAGGACTCGAAACTGTGATCTATTTGGTTGGAAGTTATCTTCCTAAGTCACTATTTTACACTAGGCAACACTTTAATTATGTTTTCTGATTCCAGTTTATTTTACTCATTTATTATAAATTTCATGTTTGTTTATTTATACAGTAGGTAATCATCTGGTGATTGTTGATACTATTTATTCTTTGATAGGGTTGTGTTTACGATACTGGTACAGTTACATTTACCGACCTCCCAACATCGGAGATAGTGAATACTGTATCATATGCAATTGACTCGCATAGCACAACTGATCAAAATCATGATATTGTTACGATTCCAAGTAATGGAGATAATAAAAAGTTATTGGATAATAATCAACTATCTCAGTCTGTTTCAGCTGTGTTAATTGAACATCCTCTATCTGGAGATAATATAGGTATAGCTGGGACTAATACTACTTCTGTTGCTACTACTTCCACTATAACTACTACAGCCGGTACTGCATCAATGATTGGTCGTGGTTCTGATGTTGAAATGTTACAAGCTTTACAAGATTTTGTTCAACCTGATGAAGTATTCATCTTTCCACCAATATCTAAATTAAGTTTAAATTTTTTTATACCAATTGTTGAAAAAAGTTATCGAAATCTTGGTTTACGACCACCTAGAATATATTCAGTTAAAAAATTATCGTGGTCTACTCCACGTGTTGCACCATTTATTAATACAATTACTGAGACAATATTAATTATAATTATATCATTGACATGTTTAATTATATTTCCAGATTCAAGATTAGCAGTGAATACACCAATTTTTTATATTATCTTGTTTATTGCATTTATTATTCATAGTGTATTATTATTATTATTAATTTTAGATTTAGCTGCATGGGCATGGTATCCAAGAAAGTATAATCATCATAATAGTAGAGTAGTTTCATTAAAAAAATATCGAAATGATTGGAGATATATTGTAATTCGATTATATGGGAAATTATTTCATTGGCAATCACGTAATATAATTGGTATATTTATTCTTATTTTGCCTACATCAATTATTCTTTCTTCATATTCTTATTGTTTATTTAATAATAATAATAATAATAATTTAGAGAATAATTATACAAAATTATTATCTGGTATATATCGTACACAAATTGGTTTATTATTTACATTTATGTTTATCAATTGTACTCTATACACATCATTCTCATCATGGACTAAGACTATATCAGCAACATTTGTCTGTTTATTAAGTTTAATATTGATATGTTTGCATAGAATAGTAAAATCTACATGTACTTTAAAGCATATTCAAGTATGGTTACCTAGTATAGAGTATAATTTTAACATATATTCATCAAGTCATTTAGATGATCAATTAATAAGAATGAATACAACATCATTAGTATTATTCAATTCTAATTGGATAAATCCATCATTATCAGATAATATAATATATGAGTATATAGTGATTGGATTATTAACATTAATTTTAATTGGTGCATTGAATCGTGAATTTGATATAAATTTTCGATTAAGTTTTCATCGTGATTATGAAGCATTACAAGCAAAAAAAGCTATTGGTCATCAAAAATTACAAGCTGATTGGTTATTAGAAAATATTATACCATATTATATAATGAATGATTTACGTCAACATAATAAATATTCACAACATATTGAAAATGCTGGTGTTATATTTGCATGTATTACAAATTTCTCTGAATTTTATGATGAACAATATCAAGGTGGACAAGAAATGTTACGTGTTTTAAATGAAATATTTGCTGATTTTGAACATCAACTTGCATTAGTTAAATATAAAGATGTTGAAAAAATTAAAACAATTGGTGCATGTTTTATGGCTGCATCTGGATTGAATATAATACAACGTAAATATAATAAACAATCAGATGAACATTTATGGGCATTACTTGATTTTGCTATCGATTTAATTCATACATTAGATGATTTTAATCGTCAAATGTTCAATTTTCAATTTGAATTAAAAGTTGGCTATAATATTGGTGAAGTAACAGCTGGTGTAATTGGTACAACAAAATTATTATATGATATATGGGGTGATACTGTAAATGTTGCTAGTCGAATGTATTCTACTGGTTTAAAAGGTAGAATACAAGTAACAGAAACTGTTGCTAAACGCTTAGAATCACGTTATTTATTTGAATATCGTGGTGAAGTATTTGTTAAAGGGAAAGGTGATATGAAAACTTATTTATTAGTAAATCGTCGTAATGAAAAATAACAATTAAATAATATCTGATTAATTAATACTTGCATACACCCTTATTATAAGTTTATTCATTTACCTGACTATTGATATTATTATTATTATCATCATCAGTATAAACGTCAATATTCAATGTGTATTAAACACATTTACATCCCATACTTGTCTATCTAACTTACTTTCAGAGTTGTTGTTGTTGTTTTCTTCTCTATGCGATTGATTTTTCACTTATTTATTTCATTCACGTGTACGGTAACCACCGATTATCTCTATATTATATAACTTCATATATTCTTTCTCTTTGGAATAAAAGTATAACAAGAGAAATACAAGTAATTAACACTTAGATTAAGTATAGAATAAAGATTTATTTCTATCCTGAGAACAACAACCGTACTTGTAGTTCTTCTGTATGTGTGTATGTGTTTTAGTTAGAAAAAGAGTGCAAATCTACAAAGCTCTTCTATGCGCATTTCCTCTACAGTGCTTTCTCGTTGCGCTTTTGATTTTGCTTGTTTAGTCCCTCCCCCCCCTTCCCACACACACACACATCGTCAATGTGCATTTCTCCTAGAAATCTTATCATACACCTAAAATGTGGATCTGTCGACTTTATTTCCCATGTTATTGTCATATTAGTTGTCATCCATCTGATATCATTGTTTAGCGCCTTTGAGTGATGTCTATTGTATAGGTGGGAGGGGATTCCCTTCTCATGGCCTATCTCCGTTACTCATCATATTCGCTGGTATATGGATATCAACGCAAGTTGCTCTCTCTCACACACACACACATCTCCCTGCTCCTTTTTAAAACATACGTGCATATATATATATATATACCCTCAGTCATGTCTTATTGTGTATTGCATTTCTTTAAGATTGTTCAATTCCTTCCTTTTAAAAAACTTGTCTGTATCAAAATTTCTACACTTCAGTGTCTATCTTTACAGGAGTTGAGATAGACAACAGTGTATATTCTCTAAAGAAACAAATAACCTAGCCAGAATGTTGTTATTCATCAGTTTATTTATCGTTCAACATCAAATATTCCTTGGTCACAAGGAAGATAAAGTATTTATTAATTAAACAGTAATATCCCTCTGCAATATAATCAGTAAACATTATTATCGATTTTATATATGCACTGATTGTTTGTTACTTGTTTCATCTCGATTGGGCGCGTTTTTTTTATCCACCCCCTTGCTTTTTCCTTTCTTGACTTGTGCTGATTATTTTCATTTGTCGTTGTCCTCATTGTTGTTGTTGTTGTTATTCTTTTTATTCTCTCTGATTTCCTTTTGTAATGGATTGATGACTTGCATATTTATTGATCGGTGAGCATACAAAAGATGGTGACCTGAGGATTGTTGTTATTACTATCGAAGAACCAGTAAGCATAATAATTATATAATTTCATCTTAAATTTTATTTTCTAGTTTTATAAGTCCCACTAAAATTGTGATGGTGTCAACAGGGTTTCCGATAGAAACCACTCTTCCAGTCAAGGTCCTAAAGTGCAAGATCTTTGACATAAAGTGTCTTGAATTAACGAAATTTACTGGTGAACACCGTAACTGACTAGTCGCGTTATGGGGTGGAGATTTCTTTTTGTCTTTACTATATATTTGACTATCTGAGATAGTCGTGGTTTGAGAGACTAGTACTGATATTGAATGATGATTGAAGGTGAAATGAAAATCTGAACCGCGGTCGACCTACTGGTTTCCGGCCCTATGCTCTACCAACTGAGCTACGAGGTCCGACTGCTGACCAGATTTTTACTTCACTTCAATCACCCAGTAAAAATACTAGTCAGCCAAATCACAGCTATGTCAAATGCTCAAAATGACCAATACTATGCTCCCCCTATCTGATTCAGTTAGATTTGGAATGGGATAAGAAGTCGTGACTAGGCAGCCACTGCGAACACGATCAAGCGATAGTAACGCGTCATGAATTGATATGGTAGTCGAGCAAAAAAACCCTTGATGATTGCAGTGAAATAAAAATGTGATCGGTAGTTGGATCTCGTAGTTGAGTTGGTAGAGCATCGGGACGGAAACCGATAGTCGGTAGTTCGAGTTCGACCGCAGTCCAAATTTTTCTTTCACCTTTAATCATCACCCAGTAACAATTTATTATGTGCGCTTTTAACTACATCTATGTAATTATTCACTACCTAGATTCGCTTATAGCATCAAAAATTTGTAGAAGGTGATAAACTGATGGATTCACAACGTTTTTCATTCGATTTAATTTATTATATTGTAGTCCACTTGAAGCTGTGACTCATTGATGACTTCCAACCAGTGGGTCATGGGTTCGAGGCTTACTCCACCTATCATGGTTTGGGCAACCAAGTAGTATAGCTAGTACCCATACATCAGGTTATGGTTCATTGCCAACTGCATGAATGTGCACAAGGTGGCTGAGTGCGCATAGCTTACTTGATAACTGCCACTAGAATCCAGGACACAAGTTTCTTATCCCTTGTACTTGTCAGCTGGATGTACTTGCACCCTGTTGAGATCCTAAGTATCCATGGCTTCAAACGATAAAGCGTCGTTCAATGAGCTACGATGGTTCTTTTTGTGCATGGTATCAGTAGTTGTTTGCTACTTGTAATCTCGCATTGCTATACTGTGTCGAACCGCTTTAAAATTCATGCTACGTTTGTAAGTTAAACTTGTTCACAGCAGATGAACTATGCAAAAAATAACGGTGGAAACTCAAGGATATGACTAAACGTTGTGAATGCTGTGGTAATTGTGGATATGGTTATTCTGCGTATGATTTTTAGCCAATTTTTGATGAAGTTCCACCATCAGTGTATTTTCCATCCAGGTGTGTGGGCAGCGGGTGGGGGTGGGGACCAGTTGAATACATATTCACTGGAGCTTAACGGAACAATGAGTTTTTCCGATAGGATCTTAAGTGATTTTGTGTCATTGACGTCTTTTAGGTGCATTCAGTAGTCCATCAAATCAGCAGGAAGCTGTTGTCCTTCGAAGGTATCTCTTTTCAGATATCAGGCTCTGGTAAAAGTAAGTATGATTTTCTAGAAACCGTATTATGTTATCTGGAAACAATAAGTCTCCGTCTGCTATATTTAGAGCCCTTTTTGTGAAACAGTGACTAGATCCTCAAGTAACTTTGTACTTTGCTCTCAGTATGAACGTGGGAATCAGATGATATCTTATAGCTGGGTTTTCCTTAGTTGTGTCATTTTGCACATGCTTAGTTTTATTCCATCAGGACAACTTGGCAGAAGTATATGCCTACAAATATCTTCGTCTTTTTATGTCAGTACTTTTCTATCCTAAAGGTTAAGATTATTGAAGGCATTTACGAAGTTCATCTCATCGTACGATGAATAAAATTTTAACCAAGTTTTCAGGTTATTATTCATCACTGACTGTCATCAGTTGGAGGACTGTTGAAAACGTGAGAGCACTGGGTAGGTGACTCATCCTAGTATGATAATGTTCAGCAGTGTATATCTGTGACCTCACCTCACTAGGGATCGAACCGAGAACATTAACCCTCATAGCGAGCATGTTGCTATCCGGTTTCTGGGTTCAAATCCAATCGTCCACCTTTTTCTACTTCCGTCTGTTCACGATATACTACAAACTCCATCCAGTCCATCGTTGAGTATTTTCTTCTCTCAATTTCGACTTCGTTTGGCCCACCGATCACAACTTCTCACTGGAACTTCGGGATATATCACTGCTGAGAGCTGGACAGTAATTTAGTTGTTGTTGTTGGTATAAATAATTAAATTGTACCGACTGGTCGTGAGGTTCAGTTCAGTGATTTTTTCTGTTGTTGTTCTCGATTGAAAGCGTTTTTTGTAGTAGTTTTCTGAGGATCCATTGTTGTCGTGAAACCAGTAGACCTCCTGGTTTCACTGACTGGACCTATAAATGTCTCAGTAGGTATTATCAGTTGGAGATTGACTAGCTGTCATCAATATCAGTATATACGCTGCTTACTGTGAGCTTAAACAAGATGTTGTTGGCGTTTATTGATACCTATACGCTATATATCCCTAATTTTGCATAGCTTTTCCTACTGTTTTGCTCATGACCTTCAAATAACCTACATGGCTGTTTTCACACCATTAATAATTTCTCTTCCTTCTCCTCTGAAGGCTGAACTTAGATTGGTTGTTAACTATTTTTTACCTATATGTGGGTTGAGTATTGTGAAGGTCGCATAGAAATGTATATATTCAGCATGACTGTCAACTGTATTGACTTTAGTTGAGACAGTGAAAGCTGTCTGTGAAGGGTGTGTTTTCTCTTCTTATGTTCGTGCGTCGGTGATATTGTTGTTATGGTGGTTGACGTTTTGATTTGCGTTGGAGTCGATTTGTTAGCGCGTTAGGTTCGTATCGTTTGTAGTCTGCTAGCTAACATTATACTACTTAAATGTTGTGAGTAGGAAAATTAAAAAAATGACAATTTATAAATCTAGTTGTTTATTGGTTGCTTGAATGTAAGCGCATCACGATATGCTTACTGAGTCTCGACTTACGAGTTCGTTTCCCATCTTCCTTGTCTTTTAGAGTGTGCTTATCTTTTGGGGGAATCATTGTCTTCCTCTGTTAGTCGAATATCGAGAAAATGAGCCTTGAGTGCACCATATACAATGTTATTGTTACTTTAACTCGACTATTGTATGGCATGGCTTTGGTCTCCTTAATATTCGCGTAAATGCTTTCAAACAGATTTCATAGTATCGAATGACTTGATTCACAATCCTAAACCATCACGTTAAACATCTGAGTAAATTTCACGATTATATTCATCATAATCGCCATTCATGTTGGGGTGAAGAAACCTATAGGGATCAAACTGAACATCTATCGTTGATCGATACTAAAGACCTTGCCTATTCTAATTTTTATATGCCTAAGTGATAAATGTCTTTGAATTGATACTCAGGATAAAGATGATGGTAGTTTAGTATTCTTTGAGGTTTGATATCTTGTCATAGATGTTTCATCAC